AAGGCAGCAATGAATACAAAAACAGGAAAGGGGAATGATAAAGTGTGGGAATAAAGCAAGTGCTGAATTAGCAATGCCAGAAGGAAATGGCTTTCTGACGTTTGCTTCTGGTGAAAAATAAACTGGAGGTGAACTGACTTGAAATACTTCTGAAAAGGGAGTTCTCTCTCATGGTATTTTTTTCTGTGATCTCTTTCTACAATTTTTTAATGCAGTAAAATAGAAACAGTGCCCATTGTATTGACTGGATACTGGCAGTAGTGTTTTAGCAAATGCCTATATACGGACTAAGTTATCTATAGGGCTTGTTAGCATATCATCTGCATGCAAAATAAAGTGATGATGGTAGTGGAGGCTTCTTAGAAATCGAGTGAAGGACTTGGGCTCTTGTGTGTTGTGCTTCTTCATGTGGAAGCTGCTTCTTTTTTCCTTCAACCCTATTTTTCTCCTTTTATCATTCCCTAGATATTGTGCAAATTGGAGTGATTTTTTTTTTAATGTGTTTTTTTTCCCCCTATAATAGTCCCCCATGGAATTGCTAGAAAAATATAACTGTATTATGTGGCAAAATGTAATGTGGGATGTGGAAGCCTATTACTGCTTTACTGCCTTTTCAGAGCTGCAGAGCCTATCCCAAGGGCCTGGGTGGGGACTGTCTTGCAGCATCAGATGTTGCATGTGCTGCTTTCGTGTAGGTTCTGGGTGGTCAACACAAATGCATTTTTGACTCTTCCACCTGGTGTGAATCAGTTGTGTCCTTTGGTTGTCTTCAAATGAGACAACCCAAAAATCAAAAGCGCCATGGTTTAGAGGGGGGAGGAGGGCATCTTGTGTATGCTGAGGACAATGTCATTGTTGGTCAGAGATTTGAGGAAACTGAGACAGGGCTGCCACATAATTTTTTCTTTTTTTTCTGTGTTCTGGATTCACATTTCAGCTGGAAAAATAACCCAAACCATCTCATCTGTGTCTGGGTGAGAAGGAACTGTTATTGCAATTCCTTACTAAGAGAAATGTCATCCAGGGGTCCTGCTTCTAGGCACGTTCACTGTGAGCATGGTAGTTTTGTGTGCTGGTCCCCAGGCAGTGAGGAGCTGAAGTATGGGATGTAGGCACTTTCGGAGCTCTGATGGAGTAAAGAGCAGTGAGATACCAAGAGTAATATGCAAGAAAGGAGGGTATTTAGACAAAAGACCTGAAAGTAAACCACTCAACATATGTCCCTTCTGTCTGTTGATGTTGATCTGGCCCCATGCAGATTTCCTAAAGATCTGCACCGTGATACAAGCAGGGTTTTTTTTTTAAGAAGCAGCATGGTAGAAATCAGGACGACATGTTGTATTCAATTGCAGTTTGACCTGTATCAAAATAATGTAGTATTTCCTAAGAAAGAAACACTTTCTAACAAAAAGAAATGAACCATTGGGAATTATGGTAAATGTATGGGAAGCTATGAAATTATTTATTAGGAACAGTATATCCTCTGGGTTTGCAAAAAAGTTCTGTTTTTAGCAAGAGAAAGCTATCTTTATATGATTTAATGGTTACCAAATGATTACAAGGCAGCTTTCTTTAATAAAATACCTGCCAGTAAAAATGGAGAAGATCATTTGGGTTACCTCACTGAGAATTTACATTACTTGAATTTAAGTAAGTGTTTCCTACTTTGTGCAGAAACTGTGGATAACGACTTGTGTCATATCCTTATTTTCAGCTGTGGAGAAGATTGAGTAGGTCAGAGGTAAATTCCACACTTTCCTGTCCAGCCTCACGTGCGTGTCTGTTGGTCAGGAGACCTGAGACAGAGGGTGCCTTTTCTCCTCAAATTGGGGATATGAAGAAAGCCTTCCAAGCCAGACCTCTTCCCATAGTGGCCAGTGCTTTGGGAACCTATTAGGTTGTTACTTTTTTGCTTTCCTTTTTGTTTTCATTGTTTTCCCCACAAAAAGCATCCACTGTTTTTGAGCAGTTTTTTTTTTCTCTCTGACGTCATTTTGTTGTTGTTTTGAAGGACTTACGATGCTCCACCCCTGGCAGTGTTCAAGGCCAGGTTGGACGAAGCCTTGGATGAGATGGTTTAGTGTGAGGTGTCCCTGCCCATGGCAGGGGGGTTGGAACTAGATGATCTTAAGGTCCTTTCCAACCCTAACTATTCTATGATTCTATGATGGGGTTTTGAGCAACTTGGTCTAGTGAAAGGTGTCCCTGCATATGGCAGTGGGGTTGAAAATGGATGATCTTTAAGGTTCCTTCGAGGTCAAACCATTTTATGATTCTGTGATTATATAAGATGCTTTTTTCCCTGTTTTATCTTAGGAAAAATGAGTAAGTTGTCCAGCTAATGCTTTTTTGAAGTTCATGAAGCATGTGAAATAGTGGTAGAGTAAAATCATCCACCAGTGAAAATACCTGATCTACAGAACATGATGTTTCTGAGGAAAGTTGAGTAATGCTAATTTCTATTTTATTTTGTTTTGCTTTGGTTTTTTGGCTTCCAAATCCCTGTTGAAAAATACCTGCCAACTGTAATTATATTACTGGAAGCTTAATTCAAGGTCTGATTTTTGCTGGAAGCCTGAAGGAGGGGAGGAGACCAGAGCTGGAGAATAGCATCTGATGTTGAATGATGGGGATGTCAGATATACTTAAGATAAACAAACTTGTTAATAAGATAGCCACACAATGCTGCTTTTGGCCTAGCATGGTCAATATACTCACGTGGAAGTACTCACAGCAAGCTGGCCATTTTGCTGCTGGTCCAAAAGCCTTTGCTGGTGGATTTGGTCATCTTTCACCAGAACCTGTTGACAAGCATGTGACTCTGAGCCTGTAAGCTGGTTGTGGTTGAAGTGTGTGTGTTTAAAGTGCTTTGGCTGAGAAGAAAATCAGCCAAAAGCCATCTCCAAGAAGGAGATGGAAAGTATTAAATGCTGACTTTTCTTAGTGGGATTCAGGTTTGTTGTTTCCCATTGTTAAATACTCACTGTCAATGCCAGTATTTCGCTGTCAGAGAACCTCCTGATGCAATTCTGACATTTCTAGATGGGTCTGCTGACACCTTAATTGTCTAAGTTTTCTCTTATGAAGAGAAAGGAAAGAAGGGGGCAAAAAGGAAAATTTTTGGTGTAAATCACCCAAAGACAAGGCTGTGCAGGCAAGTATTTAATTTCCACTTCTTTCCATGGCTGAAGCATCACAGATGTGCAGGCACAAAGAGGTAGCTTGTTGTGAGATGGGTGAGTTACATCTGATGGCTTTGTGTCAAGTGAAAACCTCATGATTTGTCTTCACACCCAAGAGGAATGATTTCAGAGGAAGCATCTCTTGTTCTTACAGTTTGAGTTTTCTTTATATGATTCTAGTAATCCCCCCACAGTTCTCTTCCCTGTGTTCAGGCTGAGCTGCATTCATACTATGGTGCACTTCTGAAATGTATCTGAAATTGGACAGACTTGAATTGATGGATTGAGATGTGCTTTGTGTGAAGTGTTTACAGAGAAGGGTTGTGGTAGGAGGAGTTAACTTTGTGTTTTAATAGTATAGGCAAAAATGCTTGGGAACAATGCACTGGGAAACTATTTTCTTGTTGTTCTCAGGGTAAAAAAGCAGCCATCCACTGTGCACTGGCCAGCACAGGGACGGTGCTGGGCGCAACTCAAGTTTCATAGGTCGCTGTGAGAACGAAGAAGGATGAACAGGTTACATGGGGAAACAGACGCTCTTCTCCCTTACCCACTTTCTCTTAAGGGGCAAAACCCCCCCAAACCCATAGTTTTTCTCAATTTATCTATTGAGAATAAACTTGAAAGGCATTAATAAACCACAGGGTTTATCTGATTTGTCTGGTTAGGCAAATCAGCAGAATCTGCCTGGGGCAGGAGCCAGGGAGGATATCACTGTATTTCTTTTAAATTTGAGGTAGAATCTTAAAATTATAGGTTGCCTCAAGTCCCCTTCAGCATGTTGCATATAATTTATGCACTGAAAGCCTGTCTAGACTCTTTACCAGTTGTGTTTATTACATACAGTGTCAATCACAGCATGTCTCTCCTTGTCGGTTTGTATATATAAGATTCATCCTGATCTTTCTGCATCTCCCTTTTCCCCATAAAACTCCCCCCAAAAGGTTTATCCCCTTTTCCCCATAAAAATTCTTGTCAGGAGCCTGGCAGTGTCCCATCCACCCATCTTTGTGATCATGGTGCATTTTGCTGATGATACAGACTTGCTGCATAGACCTCAACTGACTGGATCTGCTTTTATAAAACCAACTTTCAAGCTGAGGATGATTCATTTGTTCAGGGGCTGAAGGCTGATCTATTTTAATCTGGAACCTGCTGCAATTATGTTTTCTGTTTACCCATATGTAAAATGGGAATTGTGGTACCCTCCATCTTCTGAAAACCAGACTGAAACGAGCAGCATTTTATATGGGCTGGACAATAGTCGTCATAGTATTTACCATTAAACCTTTTTTGAAATTTCTGGTGGGTTCAACAGAAATCAAATTAGCTTGAATAAGAATTGGAAATTGTCTTCTGTTTGACTTTGTACTACTATTTGTTTATCTTGTAATACTTTAGTGATAGGCGTTTTGGAGGAGGCTGCTCTTGTTCCATGTTTACAGTGTCCAGCGCAGTAGGATTCTTTCCCTGCCACTCCTGCATCCTGCAGATATTTAAGTAATAATGAAATTTTATGCAGCTCTCTCTCTCTCTCGTCTCCCACACAAACTTCTTTAAATGGATCAACTCCTCCTTTCACCTGTCTTATCTGAAACCCTGTGCATTGTGCTTAGAATTGTTTTGAGCTTGTCACAGCTCCCTGCTGCCTGTTTGGTAACAAGAAGCACTGTTCACTTACAAACTGGTAAATACTTTACATTAAACAGGAGCAGAAGCTGTTTTCTGTGTTCTGAGGACTTCAAGAAAACTAAAACAACAAACAACTTTTCCCTTTTCTGAACGCTGAAATATTTACTTCCTGTCTTAATCTTGCAGGAACATCCTTCGCAGAACATGTTTAAGAAAGAGGCAAATCCAAAATCTGTAGACAAGGGATTAGAAAGTCAAATCCCAGTTTGAAAGGTAGATATATTTATTCTTTGCATGTTCACTTGTTTACAATAGACACGGCATTTGAGTTTTTGTCTGTCGCTGCTTCTGGAAGTAGTTTGCATATTTAATTAACAGTTTCACATTTGAATTATTCGCCAACAAATTCTTGGTTCCCATTATCAATCTTGTTTTCTTCTGCTGTCATCTGAAACTCTTCAAGTACAAGAATTAAACACTGCAGATCTTGTTTCTGCAGACGTTTGTGAATGCAGCCTTCGCGGCATTAAAAGGCTGAACAACCGCGCACAGTTCTCAATTGCTTTCTTAATAATTATATGAATGCTGGCCCTTCTGGGATTGAGTACTGTGAAATGTAGCTTGTTGTCCTGCACATCTGCATAGAGGCTTGTGAAGGAGCTTGTTTAATTTCAGATATCATTGACCTGCCTGGCAATGCTGTCTCTGGTACTGAGATGAAATACTGCCAGTGCATTTGAATTATGTAGGATGCTGGTTTTCACAAGTGACTGAAAGTAAAGGCTGATGGTGAACAATGGTGTTTTGTGGGTTTGTTTTTTTTTTTTTTTAATAAAGGAAATATCTTCCTTTCTTTAATTATAAACAAAGCACATGCATATGAAAGGTCATGATTTTATTTGCTTTTGGGGACTGGAAGCCTACAAAAGCAGTGATAATTGGCTCTACTGACTTTTACCCCTCTGATTGAAAATACCACTTCCCCACCCCCCCTCCAGTTGTGTTCAGGTGGTGCTATGTGAAAATTGCACTGTCTTTCTCTTCCAGACCCACGGAAGAGCAGATCTCTCTGTTGCTGGATGTGTTTTCCCTGTCCTTTGCTGCCTTGTTCCTTCACACCCTTGGGCAAAATTTTCCTGATCCATTACTCCTTGGCACTGCTGCAGTGTGTGTTTGATAGTCCTGGTTCCAGCTGTACAGTACAGGTAGTTCATGGCAGCTATTCTTGTTCATGGCAACTATTCTTGTTCATAGAAGTTATAGAAGAGACAGGATGCAGTATTGTCATTAATGATGAGTAGTGTCCTAAATATATTCATACACTTTTTTTGTACATCAAAAATGGTTAACCTTTCCAGAGGAGTGATACTCCTTTAGTAAGAGCAGTATGGGAACATGCTCCTTCTAAGTACTGAAGGATGCCCTATTGAAACTCAAATGCTTGTTAAACAACTGCAGGCAGATATGTATTTTTTTTAAATTTAATAGATGAGCTCATTTGAATGTTTTCCTGGGGGAGTTTCACTTCAGTGAGCATGTTGGTTGACTTGTATGAATTAAAACATTTGTATTGGAAAGGCAGCCCTATAGGATGTCATGTTGAGCAGGGCTGTTGAAAAGTGTTTGTAAGTATTCAAATTATTATTTTTTTTAATATGGATTCACTGTCACAGTAAAGTTTTGGAAAAGACAGAAAACTAAAGTAATCCTTGATCGGGTGAATGAAAGTGCAGTAATGGGTGTTTATAGTCTAGCTAATGCTTCTACTTTTTTTTTTTATTTCAGAAGTTTGAGGAAATTGAAGGTGATTCTGTGTATTTCTTTTTGTTTGCCAAATAAATATTTAAGAAGCTATTAAATATATTAGTATGCTGTATTACTATCCTGTTCTCGGAATTTTATAACCTCTGGTACTTCAAGGCATGCCTTTTCAAGTGAACCTGAGGGTTGTATTTCTCTGAGCATTTGGGATCAGGAAATGATGAACACCCAAATGTTAGTTTTGGTTGTTTTGGGGTGTTTTTTTGTTGTTTTGTTTGTTTTTGTTTTGGGGTTTTATTTTGGTTTTTGGTTTTTTTTTTAGTTAGTTAGAAATTCTGTAGTATTATCCTCCCTCTCCTTTTGTTCACCAAACCTGTTATTGTTGGCAACAAACGCTTCTTGCTTGTATCTAGAATCCAAACGCTGCCATTGCAGATCCTGAATGGGCTCATACCGCAGCTTTTGAGGTAGCTTTGGGAATTTGAGAGGATGTCTAATTTGCAGTTTCAGTTTATCATTGTGCAGAGCTTATATTCTCTAGTCTGCCTCCCCGTTGCATGTTTACTTTTCACAGCTTGAGAGCCTCTGGCTCTGCTGTTGAAGTTATGGCTGTTTTGTAAAGGAGGGGGCAGTTGTTACTGTTTTGGTGCCTTCCCCCCCCCCCCAAAATACAAATTATCTTGAAAAATGGATAATGTGCTGAAAAACTCTTGTGCACCTTACATGCCTTACATGCAGATATATCTCTATATAGGGCAGACCAGTAATCTTTGCCGAGTCACAGCTTACTATATTATCACTGAAATCATTTTTATTTCCAGTAAAAGTGCTTTCTTATTTTGTTAAAAGGTTATGCCTCATACATGTCAGCAGTGATAACCAATTTGGTAATTATTTTCATGGTAACTGTTGACTATATAATCTCATACTTCTTGGCTCATGAGAGATTATTTATAAAGCACAATGACTAAACTCTGCTGCTGTGATGCCTGGTAGGTATCATATTTTAAGATGCTATGTTAAAGTGTGTTTTACTTAGTCTGCTAAAATTTATTTTTATTACGGTTTACTGTTTTGATTGCAATAGCATTTACATCTTTAACTGATGCTCCCCAGCTATTTGCTCGCCTTTGAGAATACTTGGAATTTTGCAAGCTGAACAGGATGTGATACTTTCACCCCGAAGAATTTCTACTACAGGCTTTTTTCTTGGCAGAAACACAGCTTTTTCTTAAAAATTATATCTGCAGTTATACAATGAAAAAAACTACATACAATTTTTTCTTGATCTTTGTGCCCAAGTCCTAATTATATAATTTGTATGAAAACATCAGACTTCAAATGCAGTATATTGCAGTTTTAAAGGATAAATCTAATGTACTGGTGTTTTTTTTAAATGCCATTTTAAAGAAATAATAAGCAAAGGAGTCTAACATGTACACAGTTCTGTAAGAACATCGTTTCTAGGATATCCAAATCCCTAAGCTTCTTTTTGATCCAGAGGATTAGTGGAGATTTCCATTTTTGCATGGCAAATTTTTGGGCTGTTAAGGATGCGCAGAGGAGCCATGTTTTCATGGGAGAAGAGTTGTGTAGGAGTAATATTGCTCCCAATCCTGCTACATGTGTGTGGTCCTCTGCAGTGGTTTGCACAAGCTGTTTCAAGTAAGTTTGAACGTTCATTTTGAACTCAAAGAGCTCTTTCACTGTTTAGTAGCTCAAGAAAATAAAAGCCCATCTATTTGATGACCTCGACTGTCACTTGCAAACCAAGCTATGTTTTGAAGCAACTGTATTAATGCTAAGGATTTATAGTGCAGCCAGTTATAGGGGTCAGCGCTAGTAAAATGCATTTGAGTGGCATTGCAAGGAAACGTGTCTCATCACAAAGTTGAATTGGAGGCTCTCTGATGAAAGCAAGGTTTTTCTTCACATTTGGTGAAACATTTAAAGCATTTTTGGCTAATATAATAAAATTCTCTATAAGGGGAATCCTTAAGTCCTAGTGGAATTACTCACTTGCTCATAATGTATTAGGAGAGAGTGATTTTTATAGGGTACACAGTCTTATAGAAAAAGTCCACCATGTAATAACCCATGCTATGATAAGTGGGGTTGGTCTCTTGTCACACACCTGTGAGAATGCTTCTAGGAGAACAGTTTGATCATGATGAAAACTATGGTGAGAGAGGCTACAGAGACACCAAAAGGGGGATTTTCAGGTCCAAGGAGTAAAACCATATGTAAAATAAGACATTAGTGGTATTTAGAAGATGGATGTTACGTAAACCAACAACATCTGTTTGTAGGAGGAGGACTGATTTGTATCATCTGTTTACACAATTCAATGGGTATTTACAGTATAAATACTCATCATTTGCTTGTAGCATCTCTTCTGGTGATGTTCATAAGCAATAGAAGAATCCTGTTGAAAAGAGTCAGGGTTTGGCTGTCCAGTGAGCTGTGGTTTCAGAGGGATTTTCTTTTAGGCCAGAGCTATTTTAAATTTAAACCAAATGATAAAATAGCATCAAGATAAAGAAATGTTTAAATAAAGAATGGGAACTGTCTCAAAGGCTTATTGAAAACATCATCTGCTGTCTTCTTGTATCACTCAAGAGCTTCAGCATTGATATGGGTCAGCTGGATCCCAGTATGATCTCTCTTCTTGGGCCACTGCATGGGAGATAAGCTGGGGTGGGTTTGCTTAGCACACGAGGTCAATGTTTTAGTTTGATCTTTTTTAGTGGTATGGTTGTTCTTTATTGTATGATGACAAATCAGCATCCTTTGTTAGACGTTCACTTGTACTGTACCTAATGAAACAAGACAAATTATTTGACACTTGTGGTTGTTAAACCCCATTTTTGTAAATAATCTACTTCCAAGAGGGCCTTACAGTCTGAGCAGCTGCAGCTGTGTCTGCAGGTAAGAATCAAAGAGGTGCTTTGTGAATATTTCTTCATCTTCTGGACAGACTGTTGTTGTTAGGGACTAAATCAAAGAAATTAAAGATTGTGAAATACGTGCACTCAGAGACAAATAGTTTTAGGAGACAAATTGTTTTAGGTACAGAGGGAAGTTGTGTGAGAACTGTCAAACTCTGCGTATTCTTTTGTTACCTAAGGCAAGATAACAAGATTCTGCTCAGCAGATGAGATCAAAATTTAAAGCAGGTGTAAAAACAAGCAAAAACCTTTAATATAACCTTTTTATGATTTCAAGTTGAACTACCCTCCCACTGTTTTACTAGAAGTAACTGTTAGTTATTTACTGCAAGGGATAGGATAGGTAATATTTATGAATAGCATGAGCAAATTTTTTGTAATTTTATTTTTCATGTATGTTTTTTTTCTGTCCACTGTAATGTGAAGCTCTAACAGTAGATCTCTTTAGAATCCTACAATTAAGTAAGAATATTAGTAACATTTGAAACTTTCTGTAAAACAGCTCTTTACCTCCATAGGTTTCTCAGAATATGCTTTGTGCTTGTTAATGCTTTAAAGTCTTTG